ATCTTGAAAAACAAGGTCAGAAAGGGAAGAAGGAACAAGCCAATCTGGTGCGCGAAGGAGGCGACGAGCATGAGCAAGGCCTATTCATGGCCATGGTCACCCCCGGCACATTGGCTGAACCAGTGGCACCACAGGCAGTTTTTCTCAATGAAGAAAAGGTAATCCCCGTGCCATCCCCTGACGGTCTATGGTATTTTGACACGGGTGCCACAAGTCACATGACAGGAGAGAGGAGTATGTTTGCTAAGCTTGATGAGGGCGTGCATGGCACAGTCAAATTTGGAGATGGGTCACATGTAGTAATCCGTGGCAGGGGATCCATTGTTTTCAAGTGCCAGAGCGGCGAGCAGCGTGCCTTGACAAAGGTATACTACATACCGAGCCTGCGAAGCAACATAATCTCTGTTGGTCAGTTGGACGAAGGGGGGTGTCAGATTGGGATTCAGAATGGTCTGATGACAGTACATGACCCGGCTCAACGCATACTAGCTCGTGTCCGGCGATCAGTCACTCGTTTGTACACTGGCATGCTGACCATTGACACGCCGGTGTGTCTGATGACGAAAGTGGATGATGAGACTTGGAAGTGGCATGCTAGAATGGGGCATTTGCATTTCCGAGCGCTGCGTGCCATGTCTGCAAAAGGCATGGTCCGAGGTATGCCTGAGATAGCTCGCATCGAGCAGTATTGCGATGGTTGTGCACTAGGGAAACAGCATCGAGCCCCTTTCCCGCAGGCGAGTTCATATCGAGCAGAGCATGGTCTAGAGCTAGTCCATACAGATTTGTGTGGTCCTATTATGCCACCAACACCAAGAGGGAACAAATACTTCATCCTTGTTGTTGATGACTACAGTCGGTACATGTGGATTGAGCTACTCAAGTCTAAGGATGAGGCACACACCTGTTTCAAGAGGATTCAGACCATGGCAGAAGCTGAAGGTAACTGTAAACTTCGAGCATTCAGGTCTGATCGTGGAGGGGAGTTCAACTCAATGGAATTTCAAGAGTACTGCAGCGAAAGGGGTGTGAAACACTACACCACGGCGCCTTACTCTCCCCAACAGAATGGTGTGGTGGAGAGGAGAAATCAGTCCGTGGTAGAGATGGCAAGATGCCTGATGAAGAGCATGGCAGTACCTGCATATTTCTGGGGAGAGGCTGTGAAAATTGCAGTGTATCTACTCAACAGAGCTCCCACCCGCAGCCTCGAAGGCGTCACGCCGTATGAAGCGTGGCACGGGCGAAAGCCGGCCGTTCAGCATCTGCGAATTTTTGGTTGCGCAGTACATGTCAAGATGTTGGGGCCGGGCATTACAAAGCTCTCTGACCGCTCCAAGCCGATGATTTTCGTCGGATATGAAGAGGGGGCGAAGTGCTACCGTGTCTATGATCCTGAAACAAAGAGGGTACAAGTCACTCATGATGTGCTCTTCGAGGAAGGACGGGCATGGAGCTGGGACGCGGTGACCGCGGCCCCGGCGCAGGTCACGCCCGATGTTTTCACTGTGGTGTACACCACGGAACCAGGTGTGGAGGAGCTGGACACCGGAGGAGTTCATGGTGGCTCGCCTAGTACGCCGCTGCCACCGACGACACCAATTGGGACGGCAGTACAGGCAGAGACGCCAGCTTCACCCATGGGGGAAACAGCCACGCCAAGTACAGAAGAGACTCTGAGAGCGCCTGAAATTAGGTGGGCCACTCCACTGTCACAAGACGAAAACCGGCGGGACGTGGACACTGGACCAATCAGGTACCGACGCATGTCGTGCGTCATGGATGCCACAGAAGAAGATGCTGAATATGAGTATCATGAGAGCTGTCTTCTCAGTGCCGAAGAACCGCGGGACGTTGAAGAGGCTCTGAGTGATGCACCATGGAAGGCTGCGATGGTTGAGGAGATGCGCTGCATCCATGAGAACAAGACTTGGGAACTATCAGACCTGCCTGCCGGTCAGAAATCCATCGGGCTGAAATGGGTTTATAAAGTCAAGAGGGATCCTGCTGGCAACATCACCAAGTACAAGGCCCGTCTAGTGGCGAAGGGATACGTACAGAAGCAAGGGGTGGACTATGAGGAAGCCTTTGCGCCCGTGGCCAGACTGGAGACTGTGCGCGTTCTGCTCGCGCTCGCCGCGCACCACCGCTGGGAAGTTCACCATATGGATGTCAAATCGGCATTCCTAAATGGCGATCTCAGTGAGGAGGTGTATGTAGACCAGCCGCCCAGATTTGCTGCGCCAGGGGAAGAGCATCGTGTACTGAGGCTGCACAAGGCGCTCTACGGCCTCTGTCAAGCGCCGAGAGCCTGGTATGCAAAGCTTCACGATTCTCTTGTCAATCTTGGGTTTGAGAGAAGTCCATTGGAACATGCAGTCTACAGGCGTGGAGATGAGTCCATTTTTCTGCTAGTTGGAGTGTATGTGGATGACCTTGTCATTACCGGCACGGATAAAGGGCTAATCAGAGAGTTCAAGGTTCAGATGAAGATGCTCTTTAAGATGAGTGACCTTGGATTACTCAGCTACTACTTGGGGATTCAGGTATCCCAAACAGAGGGTGAAATCACACTTCATCAGCGGAGTTATGCGAAGAAAATCCTAGAGGTAGCCGGCATGGAAGAGTGCAACAGTAGCAGCACTCCAATGGAGTGTCGTTTGAAGCTCAGGAAGGAGGATGAAGGCGAGCTGTTTGATCCCAAGTTGTACCGCAGTGTGATAGGCAGTCTTCGCTATCTTGTCAACACAAGACCTGACATCGCACATGTTGTGGGAATTGTAAGCAGATTCATGGAGACCCCGAGCACTCATCATTGGGCAGCCGTGAAACAGATTCTCAGGTATATTCGAGGGACGCTGGGCTACGGCTGTCATTATCAGGCCGGGCACGGCGAGGTGAAGCTTGTTGGCTATACAGATAGTGATCATGCAGGTGACACTGAGGACCGGAAGAGCACCTCCGGCAATGTATTCTTCCTTGGCAACAATCTTGTCACTTGGAGCTCGCAGAAGCAGAAGATAGTGGCTCTCTCTTCTTGCGAGGCTGAGTACGTCGCTACAGCAGTGGCGGCGTGCCAAGGTGTGTGGCTCTCTCGTCTGATCAGTGAGATGCTCGGGAGGCCGCAGACCAAGTTCAAGTTGTTCGTGGACAATCAAGCTGCCATTGCTCTCAGTAAAAATCCAGTCCATCATGACCGTAGCAAGCATATTGACATCAAGTATCATTACATACGTGATTGTGTGGAGAAGGGTCAGGTGGAAGTGGATCACATTCGTACCAGGGAGCAGATTGCAGATGCACTGACGAAGGCGCTGGGCCGTGTTGTTTTTGTCGAGATGCGTCAGAAGCTTGGAATGTCCGAGGTTGGTACTAAGGAGCAGATCTTAAGGGGGTGAAATGTAGGACCTAATTAAGTTTAGCTCCATTGCGTACCTGTTTCAGTATAGAATAAGTGCATGCATGCGAGTCCGATGGGACAGCTCCATGCACATGCACGTAGCTAGGTAGCGAGACGTGCTGCTGTACGATCTCCAGTTTCCCGTTTTCTATTTTGATGTAAACTCCCGATCGGTATGGTACTAGTGACGCAGTCGTGGGATGGCGCGACGGACGCGGATCTAGAGCAGCTGATCGGGAGGTAGTTAGCCTTGTAATCGCTAAGGATAAGAAAGTGGAATAACAGAAAAACGCTGTCGAGTTCGACGGCACAAAATACACCAGTGTCTTCTTCCTCGCGTGTGTTCATCTCTCTCTCACCCGTTTCTTGTCTCGATCGATTCGGCGACGACACTAGTAAATGCGTCCTGCCCCGCCTGTGCCTATGCCCTTGTCGACCAGGTCGTTTTGTCTGCCTACTGCCACTGCCTTCCAGACGTCGTCAATTCATCGGGCATCGCCTGCGTAGCTCTGGCCTTTCAGGATGCACGGCGGCTGTGCCGGTACCACAGGGATGCTATGGTTGAGCGTGGCCAATGCCGCGCCACCTTCCACAACGTCCAACTAATGGAGCAGGATATGAGCGTAACGGCGGCCGATGAGCGTGAGCGAACTCAATACACGTTTTAACCCGTCAAATAAGCTTTTGTTTAATGTATATATTGATTTTTTCTGATTTATTGTCAAATAAGCTTTTGTTTAATGTATGTTTCAGAAACGTCATTTTGGAGACATAATGTTTTGGTCCAAGATTTCCCTTTGATGCTTCAGTTCCAAGCGATTGGCTTCGCTTGTTTTCTATTCTTGCTACTCCAAGAATGGTGCTGCAGAAGAAGAGGCCCTGTCATGCAATCAGCCATGTAATTTGATTCCTTACATGGTACATTGTTTTGTGTATGGACTCTATTGCTGGTAACTACCACACCAGTCATCATTGCCTTTCTCTCGGATTGTATCTTGTGCTTTTGTTCTTCCTGCTAGGAAAAATGTTTGTCCAGTCGATCTTGAACAAGTACCAGTGCCGGGATGACAACGGAAAATGCTGCCACATTCCCCTTTCTAACAGGTGGAAGCGATAGCTCCGTTGGAAACAACCTGGAAGATGTAGGTTCTGAAGAAATGGTCGTGGCACCGATGACTTATTCAGTTCAGTACTTCAACAGTCAACACTACTCTTCCAAAATTTATCACCGATCCATCTATCTGCCTGGCATGCGCGCAGGAGAAAAGATCAGAGAATCCAACTGTTGATTCTTTGATGTTGATACTTGCCACGGAACGGATGCCAAGATTTCATCTCCTCCATAGTATTCCTCTGAAAATATCCCATACATTATCTAGGCCTGCCTGTTATAATAAATGAATTTTTCTCTGGAGTAGTACGACAGGTAGCCTTTGTTTGAATCAAACTGTGACCCGATCTAACATCAAAAGAAAAAGAAAACACATTGTGACCCGATCTAAGATCAAGCCAAATTGCCAAAACACTCGTTCTCCCTACATGACCACATCTTCTTGTCTCCAACTCAACCCACACCAGCACCAGTAGTCCCCTTCCAACCATGATCTCCCACAAACTCTGCTGCTACGTCTCCATCCTCGTAGTCCCCTTCCTTGCACAGCTCGCCTCCGGCGACGTGCTGTGGCAAGAATGCGATAACAGCCGGAACTACACGGCGAACAGCGCCTTCCAATCAAACCTAAAGCAGCTCTCCTCCACCCTCCCAACCGAATCCTCCTCATCTCCCACCCTCTTCGCTACCGCCGCCGTAGGTGCCATCCCGGACACCGTGTACGCGCTCTCGCTCTGCCGTGGCGACACCACCAACGCCTCCGCCTGCGGCGACTGCGTCGCCAATGCCTTGCGGGACGCGCAGCAGGTGTGCTCGTACAACATGGACGTGACCATCTACTACGACACCTGCTACCTCCGCTTCTCCAACCAGAACTTCGTGACTTCCATCGACAACACCAAACGGCACATCATGCCCAATGGGGAGAACGTGACGTCGCCGGCCGCAACGTTCGACGCCGCCGTGGGTGTCCTCCTTGCCGCTGTCGCGGACTACGCAGCGCTGAACTCATCCAAGCGGTTTGGCACAGGGGTAGAGGACTTCGACGTGAGCACCCCGAGAGTCTATGCGCTGGCGCAGTGCACGCCGGACATGGCACCGGCCGATTGCCGGAGCTGCCTGGAGGGAATAGTAAGGGTGATGCCGAAGCACTTCAGCAGGCGGCAGGGAGGTAGGATCCTGGGTTTACGGTGCAACTACAGGTTTGAGCTATATCCTCCGTTCTCCGGCAATCCGCTTCTACACCTCCCAGCACCGTCCTCGGGCGTGAAACCATCGGTAGATGGAGATGGAGGTGAGTTGCAGATCTTTTACAAAACTACGAAATTTTCCTAGCTACTCCCTACGTTCATAAATATAAAATGTTTTAAATATTTTAATATGAACTACATATAGACTGAAATAAATGAATAAACACTAAAATGCATCTATATACATCTGAATCGGAAAAAAAGTTAAAATATCTTATATCTTATTCTCTATAACACTAAGCTTCCTAATTTTAAAGAGCTCATATTCAATTGAGGTCTACAATTAGAACCGAGTCACCCGATTTTGTTCGGATCAACAATTTCTCAAAGCTTTTTCGTTCAATTCTTTTATACTATACACTATGCTTTCTAATTTTTAAAGCGTAACAATTAGTTGCGGTATTTAATTTAGAATTAGGTCATCCAATTTTGATCGGGTCAACAATTTCTCAAGCTCTCGCATTCAAGTCTTTTACTTCACCATGTTCACTAATTTTGAAGGTCTTTCATTCGGTTGGGTATTCAATTTTGTATTTGGTTTACGATTTTGATTGGGCTAACGATTTTTCAAATCAATCAGTAACAACAGGCCTATAAACATATATCAACCCCACGCACCCTCACACCACCGAGAAAAAAGAAGCGCCATCATGTGATATTATAGCACCAATATAGTATATGCAACCACCGACACAGAAATTTCCCCACATAAATACTCCATCCGTCCATGAAAAGTTGTAGTTCCAACTTTGTTGGAGGCTATCTCAAAGTTTGACTGAGTTTGTGCAAAAAAATATATCATTGTTTATGAAACCAACTAGGTATATTTATCATGAATATAATACTACTAAATTGATAGCATAAATGTTTGTATTATTGTATAAGTATTGTCAAACATAAAAAAAGTTTGACTTTCCAAGAAAGTTGAAGGACACTCATTCAAGGGCGGAGGGAGTAGGTTGGTTAGAAGATAACAAGGAATTACACCACAAAAGGCCCACCAGATCGCACATTATAAATAAAAATAAAACACACACTATCATCCCCCCACATGCGAACTAAATATTACATTGGTTGCAAAATATAAGCGGTATTACTTTTTAGAAAGTTATTTTTTTTAACTTTGACCAAGTTCAGAGCAAAAATATCGACATCCATAATATTAAACAAAAAAGTATGAAAATTCATTTCATGATGAAATTAAAATACCGACTTGATATGATGAATTTTCATATATTTCTCTACAAATTTGATCAAACTTAAAATATTTGCCTTTTCAAAAACTTAATACACCTTATATTTGAAACATAGTGATTTTTTTAAGAAACTCAACAACACCAACAATGCAGCAAAGCGCGCTCAATCCTTCTAGTATACTTCCTTCATTTTTATATACAAGGCCACAAACTCAAATTACAGGTACCAAGATAAAAATTAATGCGTGCTTTACATGCCAATTTGTTTTCTCAATTACTGGGTTAATTAATAGGGTGCATGCACATTAAAGGAAAATGAGTGACCACGAGGGAGGAAGTAGTTGAGGGTGTCATTATCATCCACTACATGCATGCTAGTAATTAAACCATGGGTTACTAATACGAGAAAATATCATTAATATTTGCCTTGATTACTGTTGATGGTCTTGTATAGATGCAAAATGTGTTTTTCATAATGGCCTTGTATACAAAATGGAGGGAGGAAGTAGTTGAGGGTGTCATTATCATCCACTATATGCATGCTAGTAATTAAACCATGGGTTACTAGTACGAGAAAACATCATTAATATTTACCTTGATTACTGTTGATGGCCTTGTATAGATGCAAAATGTGTTTTTCATAGTCTGACAAAAATTCAAGAAATTAAAACCAACAAATCGGCAACAGTAGAGTCCTATAGACTGACACTACATTTATATCGAAGGAGGTGGTGGATCGATCCGTAGGTTATGCCGCGACCCATGGTGGGAAAACCATCGTGGCCACCTGCTCCAATTAATCGTGTACACACCTCCTCTTTGGATTGTAGTAGGATGGTACTTTCTTCGGTCTATACTAATTGTAGTATTTTACCTAAGTGACAACTAATGGAGTTTTTCAGTGTTTCGTTTCAATTGTTGTGTCTTTTTTGGTTCCTGCTTTTTTCATTGCTATGATCCATAAACATATTTCATATTATCAAGCGCTTCAACTCTATTGTCATTTTACAGGAGGGAGAAAAAGTAAACCTAGTACCATTCTAAGCTCCCTTGTTTTAAATAGCACAGATTCAATTGAGGTCTTGAATTAGAATTGGGTCATCCGATTTTGACCGCGTCAATAATTTTTTAGAACTCTCTCATTTAATTCTTGTATACTACTACACATCATGCTTCCTAATTTTTAAGGTCTCACAATTAATTGAGGTATTCAATTTAGAATTGGGTCATCCGATTTTGACCGGGTCAACAATTTCTTAAGCTCTCCCATTCAATTATTTTAATTTACAATGTTCCTTAATTTTGAAACTATTTCATTCGGTTGAAGTATTCAATTTTGGCTTTGGTTTAGGATTTTGACGGGACCAACTATTTTTCAAATCAATCAGCAACGACCAGTCTATAAAAACATATGAATCCCGCACAACCTCCCTCCACCTAAACAAAGAAGCGCCACCATACGATACTGCAGCACAAATATAGTATATGCAACCACCGACACAGAAATTTCCCCACATAAATATAGATTGGTTAGCGAATAATACAAATCACACCACAAAAGGCCCATGCAATCAACGCATTATAAACAAAAATAAAACACACACTATCACCCCCCCCCTCCCCCCTTCCACCCGCCAAACTAAATATTCCATCAGTTTTAAAATATAAGTGGTATTAGTTTTTAGAAAGTCAAATTTCATTAACTTTGATCAATTTCAGAGCAAAAATATCGACATCCATAATATTAAACAAAAAAATATGGAAATTCATCATGATGAATCTAAAAATACCAATTTGATATTATAAATTTTTATATATTTCTCTACAAATTTGATCAAACTTAAAAAGTTTACCTTTTCAAAAAAGTAATATACCTTATATTTTGAAACAAGGTGATTATTTTTACAAGAAACCCAACAACATCAACGCCGCAATAAAATGCGCCCAACCCTTCTAGTGGAGTACTAAAGTGGAGCTCAGATGGAGACTTCTTCCTATTTACTTAAACTGGAGCTGAGCTGGCACTTTCATATCAATAACTTGCTTTCTACGATAAAGAGCATTTTCATTCGATCGATATATAGAGACGATAAAACCGCACCGAGTGAATGTCCAGCCTCTACATAACACGACACACAGCCAACAGGTCAACCACAACCAAAAATACTTTTTTAAAAAACAAATTAACTGGATAAAATCCCCAAAAAGAAGTTTAGGGCCTCTTTGGATTGTAGCTTTTTTGATAAAAAGGCGATTTTATTATCTCAAAATATAGCATCAAACGAATACAAAACATTATGAGTAACATCCGGCCTCTGCATAACTAGGATGCACACAGTCAAATCCAAAAGTCGGACAAAATTTAAGAAATTAAAACCAACAAATCGGCAATAGTAGAGTCCTATAGACTGACACTACGCTTATGTCGAAGGAGGTAATGGATCGATCCGTAGGTTATGTTGTGACCCATGTTAGGGAAAAACCATTATGACCACCTACTCCAATTAATCGTGTACACACCTTCTCTTTGGATTGTAGTAGAATGGTACTCTCTCCGGGCCATATTAATTGTAGTATTTTACCCGAGTGACAACTAATGGAGTTTTTCAGTGTTTCGTGCTTGTGAACTCGTTCAATTGTTGTGTCTCTTTTGGTTCCTGCTTTTTTCATTGCTATGATCCATATACATATTTCATGTTATCAAGTGCTTCAACTCTATTGTCATTTTACAGGAGGGAGCAAAAATAAACCTAGTACCAATCTACTGGTCCTAGCAGTTGCATTGGCCGTTATTTCTGCAGCATTGACTTTCACTTTAGTTTGCTTTTGTATCTGGAGGAGCGGAAGACAACTAGAATTCCCATCACAACCATGTAAGAGCATGTACAATGGTGGCATATGGATACATATGCTCCATGACAAAAAGTAATTTGAGGCACTTACATTTAATTTTTCTCCCCAATGCAAGCTACCACTAGTGGGCCTCATTAAGAAATAAAAAATAAAGACTCTAGTACACATGCATCTCTACTTTTCACTCTAACCTTTTCAGCTTTTGTCACCGGACCACACTTTTTCTCTTCAAGCACCCGCCTCCTGAAGAGGATCCCGCTTCCTTATCCGAACCTACTTTACGTCATATCCGATCCTACATGGCATGTGAGGCATCACCTTGAGGCTATGCATTGTACATGCCCAAGCTACTCCCTAGATTTACAGACCTTAAAGACGGAAAATAACTTGGTTTTCTTTAAAGATTGGCTAGGAAATTTGTAATTAGCATAGTTTCTTTTTACTTCCATCTAAAGATCTATCGTACAACTTCTTAGTTATTTTATGCCCTTTATAAAATTAATAAAAAAAGGAAAAAAAATGCAGTGGTGCTTTGCCCTATTGCACAACCAAAAAATGGGAAATAGATAAATTTACGGTCCTAAATTTAACTCCTGCAAAAAGAACCATCAAGTTTTATATGAAAAAAAAGGCTATGTACAAATATAACGTAAACAATTACCCATTGCAGAGAATGAAATGGATTTTGTTCGATGGATTTAAAACTTTTTTATTTTGACAGATTCTGGAAACTGGGAAAGCGTTCCAAACATCAGTTTATCCATGCTTAATCTGTCAACACTGGAAGTTGCAACTGAGAACTTTTCAGAAGGAAATAAGCTTGGGGAAGGAGGGTTTGGTGCCGTTTACAAGGTACCAATCACAGTATGTCGCACAAAAAAAAACTATGGACTTCCTTAAAAAAATCATACCATGCACTATGGTCCAATTTCCTCAAATTTTACCATCATCTCTACTCGTCTAATCAACCAGTAATGTTTTTCATTAAATACTTGTAAATCTACAGGGATCCCTTGCTGATGGCCAAGAGATAGCAGTGAAGAGACTGTCACAAGGTTCAGCACAAGGAATAGCAGAGCTAAAAACTGAGCTGGTTTTGGTTGCTAACCTTCAGCACAAAAACCTTGTGAGGCTTATCGGTGTTTGTTTGGAAGAACACGAGAAGCTCGTTATCTATGAATACATGCCCAACAGAAGCCTTGACACGATTCTCTTTGGTAAATACTCAGAGTATTGCATCACTATCTTTAAATGTGAACTGTAGTTTGTAAGATGATCCCTGTAGCCACCACACGTACTCTGTTTATTCTTCACTCCACTTAATATATTGGCTACCTTTCGTCAAAAAGAAAAAGTAACATGGGAGAGAATATATGACACTAAAACTAACCTCTCTGTCGCTGTTTATTGTTCCTGTAATAGATCCTGAGAGGAGCAAGCATCTTGATTGGGGGAAGAGGTTCAACATAATAAATGGAATTGCCCGAGGTTTGCAATATGTTCATGAAGATTCTCAGTTGAAAATAATCCACAGAGACCTCAAAGCAAGCAATGTTCTGTTAGACTCCGATTTGAATGCGAAGATTTCAGACTTCGGTTTGGCGAGGTTGTTTGAAGGGGATCAATCAAAGGATGTCACAAACAGAGTTGTTGGGACGTTGTAAGTGAAGCCAACTATTATTTCAAAAAAAAAAGTGAAGTCAACTATGCTTTGATATAAAAAAATGCACCATGCATGGACTGCAGGAATAAGTCTGAATTAGTTGACGCAACCTTTATACAATGTTTGTATCCTTTTCGGAAAAAAATACAATGTTTGTATAGAGGCTGCGTCAATTAATTCGGATCAGAGGGTGTACCATATTGTTTTATATATATATATCACTAATCAATGACCATATCTCTTGTTGCAGCGGATACATGGCACCTGAATATGTTGTTCGCGGGCACTATTCAACCAAATCAGACGTGTTTAGCTTCGGAATTCTGGTTTTAGAGATTATAACTGGAAGAAGAAACTGTGGATCTTACAACTCCGAGCAATCCGTTGACCTCTTAAGCATTGTAAGCAGGAAAGAAACCCTAGCTGAATAGTACTGTACGTATTAACCTAAAATTCTAAATCCCTTACGACAGTAAAACTCATTTGAACCCATTTCTGGTGCAGATATGGGAGCATTGGACCAAGGGAACGATATTGGAGATAGCTGATCCGTCCCTTGCAAGCAGAAGCAGTGCTCCTGAAGAGGAGATACTCACCTACGTTCACATCGGATTGATGTGCGTTCAGGAGAGCCCTGCGGATAGGCCTACGATGTCACGGGCGAATGCGATCCTTAACAGCGACACCGTCTCGCTTCAGGCACCGTCCAAGCCGGCTTTCTGCATCCGGGCAAGTAGTGCCGGGCCGGAACCACGACACGGCGCCTCGCAAGGCCGTGGCAGGCCGGCCGTGGTTTCACCCAACGAGGTTTCGCTCACGGAGCTTGTACCGAGATAAGACATGTTGCACTGAAATCTTGTCGAACGAACTCTGCATTCTTCTACATAGAATGGCTTTTCCACCTGTTTTGGCCTGTTCACGATATTATATGTTCGCTGGGTAACAACGTGTGGACGGCTGCGACGAGTGGGGTGTTATGGTTAATCCTGAATGTAGAAATAATGTCAGAAGCACGCTGCATTTGCTGAAATAGGTCTATGCACTTTTTTCTAGAATACACACAAGTATGTGTATCATATATTCATAGAAGGAGTACGATACAATGCCTTTCGGCACAATGGTACACCAAAAGGTTAGCAACCACACCCACCACGACAACATCAACACACTACTCGCCTTGCCCAAACTCAAGCCATGAATGATGAAGATATAGAACACAAAGCACACATGCCACGTCACAGCAGTATTAGACACCTCGAAGCACGACAAAACTCGAAACCAAACTAGATCAACGCTCCCTCCACTATTAGCGTCTAGGAGATCGGCAAGTGGACATCAGGAGCTAGCCTGACTTGAGGAGGACATTGCAAATGAGGCAGGGAGAGATTGCATGGAACAACTGTTGAATGCCAATCCAGAAGATCCCCCTCCTCCCACGACGCTCCCGCGAGCGTCCGGGAGGCTAACCCTAGCGCCGACCAAAGCACCATCAATAGGCACTCTCAGGGCGGTCCAGAAGGCAACGGCGAACGGACAACTAAAGATCAGGTGGTTGTTAGAAGTATATTTACTTTTAAGATAGAGATAAGAGATAGAGATAGGATAGATTCAATTTGTCCTCTACTCCAAGTCTCTCTTCCTCCATTGTATCTCTATATATACTTCATACATAGGTCAGATCAATACAACATAATATTCAGGCATCTCATATTTTCTACATGATATTAGAGCGGTTAGTTTTACGACGCCGATCCTAGGACCTTCCCCCACTTCCGCACCGACCCCGGGGAGATTAATCTTCTCTCCCCAGGGGCGCGGCACTAGATCAGTTTCATAGACTAGATTGGTTCAATACATTCATTTAGGTCAATTTTGAAATTTTCAGCTTCATAGATTAGATCCAATTTAGCCACAAATAAATCCCACGATCAGATTAAATTCCGATGAAATTACGCCAACATGCTCGAGTCAGAGACTTAAAGGAGGGGATGCTAATTCCAAATATTTTCACATGAAGGCCAATGGGCAGCGGAGGAGGCGTCTTATCCCGTTTCTGAAAGATGGGGAGCGCACTGTCACTAGTATGGAGGAGAAGTTGAGCCTGGCGCTGGAGTTCTTCAGGACCAGAATGGGTTGCTCCTCTTCTCCGGGTTGCTCACTCCGATGGGATGAGCTGAACTTGCGTCCGTTATCTCCGGAGTGGGCGCACGGGCTGGAGGTACCGTTCACTGAAGATGAGATCAAGAAGGTTATCCAAGACATGCCAGCAGACCGTGCTCCAGGACCAGATGGGTTCTCCGGCCTGTTTTTTCAAAGCTGTTGGCAGATTATTGCGAAAGACTTCATGGTACTGATGCAAGCTCTCTACGAAGGCCGGTTTTACTCGTTCAGGGCCCTTAACTCTTCCATAATTACTTTGCTTCCCAAGAATGAGGACCCGATGCAGCTTGGCAACTTCAAGCCGATCAACTTGATACATGGAACTGCGAAAATCTTTGCCAAGGCCTTGGCTACCAGGCTGGCCCCCCTACTGCCTTCCTTAATATCCCAAGCACAAAGCGCTTTTGTCTACAAACGGGGTATACATGAGAATTTTAAATTCGTGCGGAACACGGCAAGGGCTCTTCACACGAAGAAGCAACAGGCGGTCCTCATGAAGATTGATATTTCCAAAGCCTTTGATACTCTGTCCTGGGGTTTTTTGTTGGAGACCCTCAAAGCCAGGGGTTTTGGGGATAGGTGGTGTTCATGGATCTGTGGCCTGCTGAGCTCCTCATCTTCTTCCGTAATTATCAATGGGGAACTCAGTGATCCTTTCACCCTGGGTCAAGGTGTTCGTCAGGGCGATTCGCTGTCTCCAGCGTTGTTTATCCTGGCTATGGATGCTCTTCACGGCATGCTTCAATGGGCAGTCCAGAAGAGATTGCTTTCTGACTTGGGGCTGGATAGTGGCATCCCAAGGGCGTCCATATTTGCTGACGATGCAGTCATCTTCTTCAAGCCACAAATCACGGATCTGCGGGTGATTTCAGAAATTCTTCAACTTTTTGGCAAAGCCTCAGGGTTGCATATCAACCTGCAGAAGAGCTCGACTACATGCATTCGATGTGAGGAGGAAGTGAGCTCCATGGTGGCAGCGTTCTTCCAGTGTCAACGGAAACATTTCCCAATCACATACCTCGGGCTGCCGCTCTCTGTCTTCAGGTTGAGGAAACAGGACATCATGCCACTTGTGGACAAGTTTTCCAGCAAGATGAAGGGCTGGAAGCCGAAGTTACTGCCAGCTGCGGGTAGACTTACACTGGTTAACTCGGTGCTAATGGCTCTCCCGATCCATTTCATGACAGTTCTGCCTTTCCCAGTCTGGGCCATCAAAATAATCAATAGGAGATGTCGTGGTTTCATTTGGAAGGGAGAGGAGGCTATTAGTGGAGGACACTGCTTGCTGCCGTGGGCTCAGGTGTGTGCACCTAAGGACTGTGGGGGGCTGGGGGTACTTAATCTCAGGTGGTTCGGTTGGGCTCCGCGATGCAGGTGGCCATGGATGAAATGGGACGAAAATCCCAGGCCGTGGCATTCTCTGTCTGACACCACGGAGAAAGCAGTTTCAGCAATGTTCAATGCAGCCTCTGCGATCTTACTCGGTGATGGGGCGTCTGCAAGGTTCTGGACCGATAACTGGCTCCCGGGAGGTAGTTCTATTGCAGCAACAACACCAACGTTGTTCTCTTTTGTCAAAGACTCAGGCTGCTCAGTCCGGGAGGCTCTTCATAATCAATCTTGGATCAGGGACATCTCGGGCGGAATCTCGATGCAAGCCCTAGCGCAGTATCTATCAGTTTGGGATCTAACCTCCGCTACAAGTCTAGCGCCAGGTGTGAGGGATCAGGCTCGCTGGAAGCTTACTAAGGGGCAAGAGTACTCGGTCGGCAGTGCGTACAAGATGATGTTCATGCCCAATATTAGTTTTGCTTGCAACAAGCCAATCTGGAAATCCAAAGCACCACCACGATGCAAATTCTTTATGTGGTTGGTCGTCCATGGCAAGTGTCTGACGACCGATAATCTGGAACGAAGAGGTTGGCCTGCAAACACATCTTGCCCCCTCTGCCTGTCAGCGCCGGAGGACTGTACACACCTATTCGTTCACTGCCGTTTCACCCAGCACCTCTGGTGTCTGTTCAGGTCTTCGATTGGGGCACATTTTACTATACCGGATGACTCTGACGGCTGCACGGAGGACTGGTGGCTGCGTGCGAGAGCAGGCATTCCCAAGCCAATGCGCAGAAACTTCGACACTATTACAATTCTGTTGCACTGGAGGCTGTGGAAAAAGAGGAACTCCAGAGTTTTTGACCAAGTGGCGAGCAGTGCTAATAGAGTACCGGACTTGATACGGGAAGACATAGCAGTATGGCGCTCAGCAGGCTGCATAGCGGACCTTGGTTCCTAGTGAGCCATTGACATTTGTACCGTGTTGTAATCGTTGTATTATGGGGTTTGTCAGACTCTAGTTTCCAAATCTAGTTCGCCTAGACTGCTAACCGCGCTGTACTTCTTCTTTCTTTCTAATAAAGATCGGCCAAGGGCTCTTCGAGATGAATCAAGTTAATGTACACGGTTGTGCGTGCCTGCAGCAACGCATGGGGCACGAGATGGACATCCACGTCGCAAAGGCCAGTCCGTCTGCACCGACCAAGGACGACGATGTGCTTCGGCTCGCAACGACGACCAGCTCCATGTGCGCATGGGCTCTACATCGACAATCACTACACCACCGTCGTTGATTGAAGGCATTTTTTAAGGGCACCTTGAAAACGCCTCGGATTGATTAGTTTTGGAGGCGTTTTAGGAAAGTGCCTCGGATTGATGCAGCTATGGAGGCGTTGTAGGAAATTGCCTCTGATTGATGTAGCTATGGAGGCGATTTAAGAAAGTGCCTCGGATTGATGTAGCTATGGAGGCGATTTAGGAAAGTGCCTCGGATTGATGAGCTATGAAGGCGTTTTAGAAAATTGCCTCGGAATGAAGGTGGTGACCGCAGGTGGCCGAGCTGCTGCTATGTGCATGAATGAGACTCTCAGCTCGCGGGTGTCGCCGTTTAATCGCAACGTCGAGGCAGCCGAACGCCGGCGCTGGAGAAGACGGTGACGTTGTTTTGGACCGTGAGACATGCCTGTGTATATATATGTTAAAAGACGTCCCTTCCCATTGAAGTACAGACAGCTACCTTGGTGTACTGGTCGGTGATCAGCTGTTACACACAAGATGTGCTGTGTTCGAACAATCCGACGAGGCCAAGCGGTGTAAAATCGATGATTCATTGTCTCTTGAGCAGGGAAGAAATATAGAAGTTATGGTCGGCGGTACACGTGTCGCCGGAGTTGGGAGAGAAATACGAAAAATCTGCCTCGTCACTTGCTGAAAAGAAAATTAAACGAATTTGTCATCTCAACCTGAACAGGCGAAGCTAATGATGCATGGTTCCTGAAGATTCATATGATGGAGTAGATGTATTTTGGCTGCGGTGCTGACCAATCAGTTCGTTCGCTGCGTCTCAGGCAAAGCAGTTTTAGTCCCATACTGTTTAGGGAACAGTAGTTTGACCACCTTAAAAAGACAGGGCAATCAGGTTGCTTCAGGATAACAGCTACGAGAGAAGGAGCCTGCGCTAACGGGCCTGTCCATTTCAGCCCAAGTAATACAATGTAACAGCCCAACTGAAGGTAGTGAGAAGAGAGACTAATAAGCGCTTCTCACCTCAAACAAAAAAAGGAGACCTACAGGAAATAGATAAGCGCTTAGCTGGGCCCGATCCACTATTTATGTTTTTCCGT